TTTTTATAGTGTTCAAACAACATAGTGCAAAGCCCAAACCTTTCAGGACATAAATGACTACTTTGACATATGAAACCCAATGAAAATTATATACATTATTTAAAGAATTTGATACTCTTCCCCTGTTGCTATACTAGCAGTCACGGGATATACTTTAAAATCAAGCTATTTTTGACTTATAAAATAGATGATATATTTTGTAAACGAATTAAATTCCTCACAGTACCAGAGGATTAATTTGTAACATTATGAAATTTTGATTAGCCTGCTATAAAATCAGAATTGTTTACCACAAGTGTCTGGATTCTGACTCTTATGGTCTTTCCAAACAGATAATGAAATGAACTGAAGCTGGTTGGGGGGGTGTGCAGGGTAATTTATGAAAACATACTACACCATAATTTTGCCATTTTTCTACAATAAGGATGGCAAATGATTCATGGGATAAAATGAAATATTTCTCACTGTCATTTCAATGGATCTAAGATTTACAGCTTCTTAACTTGGATAGGAAAAACTCTGTATGCATAAAAATGAATTGTAAATCAATTAATGATGGAGATGAAAAACAAAAAAAAAATGATATTGAAGCAATGGTGAGAAAGTCTAACCAGTAACACATAAAAGGGAAGAAGCAGAAACTATTTAAATGTCTTCAGAAAGGAAGGAGTTTGGACAGAGGAAAGCCCTTGCTTAAAATTCTATGAGTATAAAAAAATCACTCTCCAATTGAAGATTAAGTAAGATTATTTAGGAACTATGGTCAAAAGAAAAAAGTATTTTAAATATATATTTATAGATTTTTTTTTTAAACCTCACAACTCCTTGACACAGTGGAAGAAAGCTACCAGCAACCAATGAAGAAGAAAAGTGAGCCTGGTTCTATAGGATCCACTGTACCTAGAAAATGAGCACAGGGATGCTCTGCTTAAGACACAACACAGTAGACATGAATGGCTCACAAGCTCATGTAACCAGCAGTATCACATGCCATGCTCTAATATCCAAGGCAAATTCTATGCAATCCAATCCTCCTATCTCTTTCACAGAACATGATATATTACCTAAGCCTATAGAATACATCCATCCCTAACCTCCCTAAATTCAAGAACTCCAATGTGAATTTCTTCAGTAGGGTATGCTAAACAATTAAATTCCATGTCAAATGTAGAGAAAAAAAGATGGTACTGATAATTCCGCTAAAGCAGTATTTTGCTTAGATCACATGAATCTTATTATTCTGGACCAGGTATCAAGCAAAATATAAAGATACCTATTGACTTTTGCAAAAGGCCCGCGCCTTCTTAGCACAAGACCTGCAGGACTGTCTGGGTATCATCAAGGTTCACATACATCATGTTCTCTGCCTGTATTTTCACAAGTTAGGTAGCTAATTAGAGACCTAAAATACAAAGTATGGGAACAAAAGGCTCATCATTTCTGCCTCCTAAACAGGAATTCTCTCATTACGAGGGAGCCAGATCAATTTAAAACTTCTGTTGTTTCTTCCCTTCATAAGTCAAATGCCATCAGGTAAAATCTGACAACAGTGACAATGCACTGCTGACAAAAATTGCAAAATATTGATGCTAGTATCATATTTCCCTTTTTTAAAACCATCAATTTTATACATTTTGAAAACTGGGGGCAATAGTTTGAAAAATTTTAAAGTGCTATCAAATTTGATAAGCTGGATCAATAAAAAATGCCTTGAACTGCTATGTATTTTTTTTTTCCAGGCACTAAACAAACAGTTCATTGTTCCAAGTCTGTCTGGGAGCCATTGCTTTGGGGTATTCTATACAATTTCAAAGAACCTTCAGAAGCTCACGGATGCCTTTGAGCATGCAGACCTGGGAGGCAGCACATCTAAACCACAAATTGAGAATGTACTCCATGTACACGTGTAAATTAAAACCTACAAAATAACATGTGCATTATAAAATTTGCCCTGTGTTAAAACTGATAACAGCCTTACTGATTTACTGACAATGAAAATATATAGCATTTTTTTCTATCAGAGCATTTATCAACACTTGGCAACCCTGCACTAACTTGACATGTAAGATGATCAAAATGGATTATGTAATCTTTCCCATTCATTTCTATTGATTTTAGTTATGATAAAATTCATCAGTGTGCCTGGGAACACATAGGCAGAAAGGCTTTAGTTGACAAAAAAAAAAAAAAAAAAGGAATCCAACTGAGTTGTAATAGGATGAATGTAATTTTGGAATAAGATTGCACCAATACAAAAGTCATGCCCTAAAGGCTGCAGTAACAAATTAATACAAATAATTCTGGTATCTCATAAATTCACATCCGTCTCTGCAGATATTTCACTTTTGGAGATAAAATTATAAAATCCCAAGCTAAAGGAATGAATATGTGTCATTGAAAATATAGTTTCTGAATATATTTTCAAACTTTCTTTTAAACTTCAACAGTAATCAAAGTTATTTGTCTGACTACAAGTAACATCAAAATGCCAGCAAATGGACCATTTTAATCAGTTTTATTGATTCATGCTTTCAGTTCTTATTCAGTTAAAAACAAGGCACATTAAATACATCCTCTTATTGCTCTATAAATGCATGCAGCTCATTCTGTATATCAAAAGTAATAAATAATGGTGATAAAACACCAAGACAGTTATAAAAATGACAACCCAGCCTCAAACATAGTATTTAACAGTCCAATCTAGAACAATAACCCAACACAATACATAAAAGTGCCACATACACAAACATGCAGTGTGTATATCCACTCCACTACTGGGCTTATACTTGATATTCATTGAAAACACAGTAGGGCTTTTTTATTTCCTACAAAAAGTAGACATAATGCAACACAGTGCAAGTTATAGCATTGCTGACTTCAATATGATTACATTCATATGCCAAAAATTTTTACAAATGCATAAAAAGAAAAATAAAATCAATGATCCTTACAGTATTTTTAGTAAAAGAATGAAATTGTTGTACAAAACAGGAAGCTACATATTTTGAAGCAAATAAACAAACAAAAAAATGCCAGAAACTAAGGCATAATAGGAAGCATGCATTTAATAGTAGAAATCCTAAAGTTACAGTCAGTATAAATTGATTGAAAGCAAGAAAACTGCAGCAGGATGGATCTGAGGGAGACAACCTTGGCTTAACTAATCATCCAACATTATTACTACTGTGATGACAGAGGTGGGGGCCATTTAAAGGAACTTCAACTCTTCAGCACAGATGGGGGTTCCTTCACCTCAATCCCCCCTGAAAGACTCTTGAAATAAATCACTTGACCATAAAAGGCAATCCCTGCATACACAGCCCAACACTCCAACAGAACCAACTAGTATCATGTTTAGGCGAGAAGAAAAAAATTATTTTGTGCTTGGTATAAGTTTTAAAGGGGTTTGATCCCCTATTTCTTTATCCTTTTTTAAAAAATCAGGTAAAATGACTATACAGGTTGAATGAAAAATTTACACAAAAATGCTGGGGTGTTCTATCCACAGTAATGGCTTTAAATCAGTTCATTTCCAAAACGAGTCTGTGGGATTGGTGAAGGAGCGAATGCTTTTTAGAATTAGCAGATTTTAAGCAAAAGCAGATATGTTCAAGTGAAGAAAAGTACACTTTTCTTTGTCCTTAAAGGAACTTCATTCACAGCAAAGCGTGCACAAACGAGGCCTGTTTAACAAACACAGATCTGCCAGAGCCAGTCATTCTAAGCCTGTCCCTACTGTAACAGAATCAGGGAGGATACAAGTCATCGTTATCTTGATCTAACTAGAAAAAGAGAGAGAAAGAGAGAAAGAACAAATGTACAATATTGTGATATATCATCTGGAGTGATAAAGGACAGCTTTTCTACCTATTTAGTAACACTGGGTTCTAAACAGTGAAATTTATTGTGTTGATAAAAAAAACATTTCAGTTGCAAAGCCATAAGCTTCCATTTATTAAAAGAGAAAAAATCCAGTGTAAAGAATTCACACTTTGAAAGAAAATAAAATTCACAGTGACACCTGGGAGCATCACTCACTCTGTTTTAGGTTTTCCTTTAGGAAGTGGTTAAGATCTAAACTTCATGTTAAAATAAAATGAGTGAAGATGCTGTCTCTCCCTGCGATTGCTGTTCGTTTCAGAGGGTGTGGGTGGAGGCTCAGGTGAGTGAACCTCCCAGTTCATATTATGATATACAGGCTCATAACCCACATGAATGAGGCATAGAGATATTCTATAATGTTGACATAAATGGAAATAATAACACAAAAAGTGTTTTATGTACCAGTTCAAGAAACTAGGACCTCAAGTCCAGGCAATGACAGCCTGTGGTAAAATAATAGGAAACACATTTCCTATTACACTCAAAACCTGATCTTAAAAAAAAAAGTAGGTAGCGTCAAAAATCAAAAGAGGAAGCTCAATTAATAAATACTGATGACTAGTTAAAAATGCCAACAAAACTATAGCAAAAGCATCCAAACTGGCATTTTTCATTTAGTGCATTATTTGTTATATTCATTGCACACTGATTTTTGTTTTTGCTGTGTCTATGTGTGCATTTGGTATGTTTTTCATTTTGTTTTTATCATTTTTGGTAAACTGATAATTTTTTCATTGAGTGCAGAAGGATAAGGGTTTTAAACAAGATTGACCTTGGATACTCAAGTATATTGCCTTTTTTTTACATATAATTATAATTAAATTAACTAATGATTATTTATCCTCTTACTATGGATTGCAGATACCCATTAGAAAAAAAGTCCAGGTTTGACAATATCCCCTATTTCAAAATTTAGTATTTGGGTATTGAAACTAGTGTTCTATATGAGTTTATAAAGAAACATTTTTAACCATTAAATGTATTACTACAATAAAGATTGGAGAGATTTGGTCCCATACCATTACATACAATTTGCCACTTACATGCTGGTTTTAAAGTTAAAACAAAACAAAACAAAACAAAAAACAAGGATCTTCCTGGCACCCATAATAGTCAGAGAAAACCAGCAGTGACTAGGTAGAAAAAATGAACGGCTGAGATGAAACTATCACTATAACTCCCAGCAAATGTCAATGCTATCCTTATCTTACACCTGCAATTCCAGCACCTTTCATAGTTTCTCTTAACCAGATCTAAACTTTTTTTTCCCTCTCCAGTTTTGCCAATCGTGCTTGAGATATAATATTGTATAGCATTGTTTGGAAGAGAAAGGTAGTCGGACTGGAGGAGGAGGAGTTGAGAAGTCTCCATAAATACCATCATTTGAACAGGTCACTCTCTTTAAGAACAAAAATGCTATCCACAAGCTTAAAGTCCACAGCTTTGTGTGTGTCACAAATTTTTTCCAGCTTCTCTTTTCCATTTCTACCTCTAGAACTGCTGTAAAATAAATTAATAAACAAAAAAGGAGAGTGTTATGCCTAACAGATCACAAAATGAGTGCAAAACATTAATCAATGTGCATTGAAAATGAGAAAATAAACTTTTTAGAAGTTAGATTGAATGGCAAATGCAAATAAAATATTGGCAAATTAAGTTGGCAAATAGACCAACATTCTGAAGTTTTGGAATGTTTTCCAGTGTTAAAAAAGGCAACTATCACAGCCATTGTTTTATAATGGTTGAAGTCATCTCTGGCTGTTACATGGTGATTTGTTGCTCGTATGTTTGTAGGCTGTAGATTTACAAAACAAAACAAAAAACAAGGATCTCACAATCCTCCACAGCTACGGTCCACCGGAATCGGAACTCTTCGGTCCAGGTTCTCTTCTGCCGTTTTCATTAGTATAGCAAGGCGGCTTCCTGACACCCTTCCTTTCTGAATAGCACTCATAAGCTTAAAGAGAAAATATGCAACAGATTCAGAAGGCAGGCCAGACAATTTTTCTCAGCATTTTAATGGTTACCATTGGGCAGGCAGAGGTAACTAAGTGCTCCATCAAAAGCCATAGCAAGTACTACAGCTCAGACAAGAGCACAATTTTTGAACACTTCAAAAAGAGAAGGGGCAGGTATTTCACCACTGCTGCAAAAACAACATCTACTTAGAAAATCAGCCTCCCTTTAAAAGCAGATTTAATGTGTACTTTTTGTCCCTTAATGTGTTCTGGGCATACTTTTTTTTTAAAAAAAGCAACTTCAAATATTGGATCTTTAATTCCATTTAAAAATCTTAAAAAGAAATCTCAGGGATTGAGCAAAGACAATGCATGACCTGTATTTAACTATCCTTTTTTTAGTGTTACTGTACTTGACAACTTGAAGTCCCCTAAATCCAAATTCCTTAAAGACTTTTAAAGTAATTTACATTTAAGTCCTTGGAAGTAGACCCAGAGATCTACCCTAAGAATTAAAAGCACTCCACAGCCCAGATTTTACCTAATTCATTTTTATCCAATGGATAAAATCAGAATTAGTCTTGAAATTACATGCAGTCAGCGGGCAAAGGCCTTTAATCGGGAAAGCACCTTGCAATTATGAGCATGTAGATTTTTTTTTTCCATTTCACATTGATGTGGTTTTAACTATTTGCTTTTCTTGATCTCATTTCTCCAGTCTTTTTTATTCATTTACTTTAAAAAGAACAGAGGTAGCCATTCATCAGAAAAAAAAAATATGTATAAAAATTCTTAAAATATGTTTAGGATTATGGCTTTTAGCCTATAGAGATACACTTTTTAAAATCAGCTCTGCATACAAGTCAGAGGCATCTGCCAAGGGGCTGGATCAGAATTTCATGACCTTATTAAAAGCTGTTTCACAAGTGATTGCTTATTAGAGATGGACTCCTACATGCAGAAGTGTCATTAAAGCCCAAACCTGGAAATAAAGTCATGTAACCAGGCAGTATCTATAGTGACCCTTCTATGAAGATGATTAAAAAACTATATCTATATTCAAAAATAGATGTTTATGGGATGAATGTGGGCCCTTAATCTTCAGAAAAGGAAAATGTTCTATTAAAACAAACAAACAAATCTGAAAACACACTTTACATCTGGGGAATAATAATGTAATGATATAAGAAATGCTGACCTCTAAAGACAGAGCAATTATTGTTTATTGTTTTGTCTCTGATTCCAGGAAGACCTTCAAAGTTTAGCAGAACTAACAAAACTGACATAGCAAGAGTTTCTTTCAGCCATAAATAGTATAGCATGCACCAACCTCAAAAACTTAAGGGTTTCTTTAAATGTCACTTGTTTCTAAAAATCATATTATAAGAAAAAATTCATATTTGGGTGTGAATACATTTCATGAGAAATATGATCAGCATTTTAAAGTTGAATATTATACTGTATATTTGTACTAAATGGAAGCATGAATAGCCTCTCTCATTTAGAATTGGACAAGAAATAATTATTAAATTCTACAAGAAAACCTGCAGGTGGTTTAAATTATTTTCTGGGTTTTAACTCTCTTCATTCAAGAAAATTGCTTAAAACTCAAACCATATAGCATATCCATAAAATTATATTCTTATTATTTCTAAAACCCCAGGTTTTTCAACCTCAAATGTTGTTGTTTATTTACAATACATATGAAATGAAGCATAAGTTATTTCTTTGAAGACAAGTTTTCTAAAATTCTGAGACAAACAATAAAATATTCTCCAGGAAAACTAAATGCATCAAATGGTTTCCAATTCCCAAGCATAAATTTTAAACTCAATTTAAAATGTGCATTTAGTTCAACAGTAAGCTAAAGAACTAAACATTCTTTTTTGTAATGCCGGACACAACCTGTGAAAATTTTCTGCATTTAGATTCAACAATGCTCTTATCTGCAGCTCATCTCCAGAGAGACAATTACCATTTCCTTCGCCTTGATCTTGTTTGTTTAACTTGACACAGTGAAGAAAGGGCTGACACTGACCAAAATCCCCAGCATTAATTTATTTCATGTTCAGCATTCATCATTGCCACGCTGCAAGCAGGACCTGGCATTCATTTGAAATACCTGCCCAACAAGCACCACAGACAAAACCTAGCTGCTTGGAAACCAATACATCCTTCACATAATCAGAGTTATACGGACAGCTAAAAACGTGGGGTCGGGGGGAGAGGCTGTTGAATTTCTTTCTGTAAGGAACTTCTACAGAATAACGTATAGCATCCAGTTTAAAGTTAAAGCAATAAAATTAATGTCCTTGATGGTTACAAAAATTAAACAATCAAAACTTAAATGAGTTGAAAATCAGAAATGGAAATGCTTAAATTGTACATAGTCTTGACCCCTTTTGGCTTTTTTGGTTCTTTATAATGCAATAATCTAATCATCACATTCCCAAGTGAATATGGTTCTTAAGTAAATATAGCTATCATTTTTAAACTTCTTCTATAAAAAAATTCTTTCCACATTAGAAATATTTTGCTGCCTCTCGTGACGAAGGTAGAACATGGTCCAGCAGTGACATTGCATACCACACTTCTCTAAAACGCAAGCTTCTTATTCAATCCTCTAAGCCATAATTAACTTAGATTTCACCTAAACTGTCCAGTGTAACAGAAGGTTTCTTATGAAAAGAAAAAAAAATGTGCTCCAAGAAGAGTCTCATCTGTGGGCAAACATATCAACCTTTGTTGGCTTCAAGCTTTCTTCCTTCTCAGAATGAAGTGACAAATGTGTGGATTTAAGAATTCATTCTTCAACATCCATTTAAGATAACGACAGCCAGAAGATAAAAGCAAATACATCTGTTTCCTTTCACCACAACTCACCTGTAAAAATTCATTGAGTTCAACCTGTCCGTTTTTGTTTAAATCTACTTCATTCAGAATCTCATGTAGTGTATTTTCATCCATTTGCACATTGATACTCTAAGGAAAAAGAAAAGCACAGAATAATGAAGCTTAATTAAAAATTAATCATATCCTCTTTCTAATCTGGCAAGCTTTCAAAATAAAAATAAAAATATTACTTGTAGAAAACACTAGATGAGAAAAAAATTGTCTAATATCATCTTTTATTCTTCTGCTATCTAATACTGATATTGAATAGTAACAAAAAGTTACCTCTAATACACGCTGAACATCAACAGTGGTAATAAAGCCTTTTTGGTCTGCATCAAACTTATGAAATCTCTTCTTGTACCTGGAACACAACATGGGATAATGGGAAAATATACTTACACAGGAAAAGAATAAAAAGATAGAAGCTTATTAGAAGTACCTGTCAATGTCTGAAGGCAATAGGCTAATTTCAGAGCGATCTGTTAACTGTTCAGATCGGGATTTATAGCCCATTTCATAATATAGGAACTTCTTGGCTGTTTCAAGTTCTTCCTAAAAGAGAGACACACAATGTTCAAAGAGTTACAGAAAGAATTATTGATTTTTTTTATCCTTTCCTCGTTCAGTCTTCAGATAGGAAGTTGATCCTCACTTACCTGACTGTATACTTCTTTTCTTTCTTCCATTTCTATTGAAATATAATTCATATTCAATAAAACATACCTTTTAGATATGCAATTTGATATACACTCTAACACAATCAAGATACAGAACATTTCTACTGCCCTGTAAAATTTCCTCATGTTCATTTGCAATTGATTCCTTCCCCAGACCTCGGGCCCTAGGCATCTCCTGATCTGCTTATGGTCATCAGACTTTGTCTTTTCTGGAATTTCATATAGAACATAGTCTTCTGTGTTTGGTTGCTCTCACATAGTATAATGATTCATATTGCTATATGCAATTTGCTTTTTTCTCTGCTTTTTCTTTTTTTTAATTTAAGAGTATTCTTGCATAGTATTGACCAGCAAATGCTACTGGACCAGAATTGTGTAATTTGGTTAAAAAAAAAAAATTAAAAGTGAAGATCTGAACAACTACTACCACTACTACTACTACGACTACTACTACTACAGTAAGGCTGCCAGTGCCCAGGCAGATATCCTGAGATTAGATATGTCAAAATGATATGGCCTTCATTCTGATAGTTTCAGACTCAAGAAGAAATGCTATCCTCAGTAGTTATACTGTTTCAATGTCCCCAGTCTTAACTGATACTGCATTACTGTGGAAATACCATTACTAATGCTTCCTCTCCAACAACAACCTTTACTTAAATTCTTTTTTCCTTCATGGTATCCACCCTTTCATTGCACTTGTCTTCCATGTAATTTGGTAAAAAAACAAACAATTAAAAGTGAAGATTTGAACAACTACTACTACTATTACAGTAAGGCTGCCAGTGCCCAGGCAGCCTTACTGTAGTAGTAATTTAGTGTTTAAATTTGGTGTTATTCAGCTGGCGTGGTCCAGAGACATTTCACTTCTTCACTCAATGAACTTTTTTCTCCTCTTTGGAATCAACTTTGAAAAGGTTTTTTTTTTTTTTTTTTTTTTAAGACTAATCTACTTAAGCAATCTTCACTTTAAAGTTTCTCAATGAAAAAATGCTTTTCCTGTCTGAATGGTATAAACCAAATGGTATAAACCAAATCCTACTGGAAAACATTTCCCAAAATATGTCCTAAGCAATACTAACCCCCTTCCTGCTCATCCCACTCAAAAAGTGAGAGTTGGATCTGACTATAAATAAATTCTCTTTTGGAAATTGACACTCCACATAAGCATTGTAAAAATTCCAATAATCTAAATTAAATGAAACACTTTCCATTATTTAACTCAGAATTTCCCAAATTCTTTTGTTCTTGCAGTCATCTTTTCATATTTATTCATTTATATCCCATGGTCACAATTTGGCAATGTTGCTTTATCTAAATGTCCCTGCTGACTCCTCTATCAATCCCTAACTCACCAGAGAAGGCCTTCCCCCCTAGTCAGCTCTTCCTAGTAGGTTGGGTTTTGGTCTTGAGCAACAGTAAATCTAAATATTTCTCTAAATGTTGAAAATATCACACATATTTTTGACATATATATGTGTTGTACCTATCTCATTAGATTTCAAGATACTTGAAACTACGAGCTATTTATTATTCCCCTAAAATATTTGGTACAATGTTCAGCATACAAGTCACTCATTAAGTATTGAATGGTAAAAACAACCACAATTCATCTACAGAGAGTTATTTATCACCTTGTTCCTCTTTCACTTGTGCAAGTTAAATAATCCCAATGCTTTTAACCTTTTCTAGGAAGTCCAACTTTCTAACCTTTTCTTTTTTCTTTTTTTTTTTCCTCCTTTGTTCTCTCTAGACTACGCACAATTCTCATGAATACTCCTATGTCTCAGATACTAAATTATATCTTTAGGTCTTTTATTTTTGTTACTTTCTTAGGGGGGAAAGAAGAGCATTTCTAGGCATATGATTTGGCTCATAAAATTTGAAATGAAGTTAAATGTAGTTCCCCAGGAAGGCCAAAGACAACCAGTTTACAGAATTTTCCTCCTCCTTCCTACATCCTACCACCTGAATTCCTAGAACTAAATATGTTCTTGCATATTTATACAGCCGTAAGTTTTATAAGAACACATAAGAGTAAGTTTCACAAAAGTAAGCAGCACAAGAGTAAGTTTCATTCCCGTTTTGACTCTTTATAGAGCCTTAGCTCTTCAAACAACACACAAAAGTGGAAGAGGTGTACACCAATTTGGCTAAAGCAGAGGTAATGGGGCATAGTAGGGAAAGCTTAGTCTGGGATCAGAGTACCAGGTTTCAGTCCCATTTCCACAGCTTACTGCTTGTGTGGACTCTGACAGGCATTTGCTCTGTGAGCCTGTTTCCTCAACCATAAAATGGGGTTACAGGTTTGCCCGCAGAGCAGCATGGTCAGGACTGAGGCGTTGTTTCACTAGTGACTTCTGTCATCCGAACACTACAGCACATTACATTAAAATTACTATAAGGATTTTTTTTTAAGAAAGAGTGAGAGAGAGGGAGAGAGAGAGAGAATTTTAATATTTATTTTTTAGTATTTGGCAGACACAACATCTTTGTGTGTGGTGCTGAGGATCGAACCCGGGCCGCAAGCATGCCAGGTGAGCACGCTACCGCTTGAGCCACATCCCCAGCCCCACAATAAGGATTTTAAAAAAAATATTGGGCCATGTTCTCACCCATGAAAACTTTGAGTTTGATGGTCTGATGGCAAACCTTGAAATCTGCCCCCCTCCCCATTTCCCAGGGGACTCTGATTTGTAACCATCTTTGACAATCTACACTTAAAGGACAGGACACATACCCTATCCTTACTTGCACACTCAGCATATGACATAGGTGCTAATTACATCCATTTGAGAATATAGCAGGAAAGTGTCTATCTCTGAGCCTGGAATTGGGCCCTACCAGACCCCGAAAATGCCTAGTGCCTGACTAATACTAATCTATGGTATTTCTGTTATAGAATCCCAAACAGATTAAGTTATCCTCTGGGTCACAACTCCTTTTTGGTCTCTTCACACACCCTCAGATTCGCTAGCTATTACTTTCTCTCCTTCTACTGGATTTTTCCTTGTCTCTCCAACCCCTCAACTTTAGAATGCTCCAGGGCTCAGTCTTTGGGCCACTTTCATCATCTAACTACACTAACTCCCTCCATGGTCCTATCCAATGGCTTAAAAACTAATTTAAATTTATATCTTCAATCCTGCTCTCCCTCTAAATTTCAAACTGACATATCCAATGACATGGATTTTGTTTTAATAGAATCACCAAAGTTATTAAAGCAGAGAGACCAGTTTGGGGGAGGGAAGAAACAACAATAATTCATCTGAGAGATGCCAGGACTTGAATCAGGGTGACAGCAGTCGAATGTGTTAAGAAAGGGTGAAACTGAACCACTATTTGAAGATAACAAATATGATAATAATGTTTGCTGATGGATTTAGAGAGTGCGAGAGAATACACAGAGTATGATATTAAGATTAAAGACTAAGCAACTGAAGGTAGAAGGGCTATTCATGATATGGAGAGATCTGTGGAAGGAGGATGTGGAGAAGGCAGAAGGTGAGCCAAGAGAACTGGCCTCCCAGAATGTAAGAAAATCATTCAAGAAGGAGGGCAAAATAAACTGTGTCAAATGCTTTTAATTGGTGAAGTCAAATGAGGACCAAGAGTGGATAAGTATGTTCAGCAATGTGGAAGATACTGCTGAGCTTGGCCAGGGTTGATACAGCAAAGTGGTGAGGACAAAGCCTAAAGGAAATGGATTCAAGTGAGACAAGGGGAAGGAAACTGAGGCCAGTGAGTACAGAAGGTAATTTTTGATATGCCTGGGCATATCACAAAAGTGTGGGTTAATTCAAAAACACAAAGATCTTCTTTTTATTATAGCAAGCCCACTTACACACATCCATACACATGCACACATACATGTGTGTATAAAAACATGAATCTGAGCATCACTGGCTTTTTAGAATGTGGATGTAAACACAAACTCTCAAATGACACAAATGATAAGCACTTAGTCATCAGGCAGTGAGACTGCTATTTCTAACCACAGGAAAATTATCAGGAGTAGGAATTTCACTGAATACATCCTGAGAGTAGTTTCAATGAAAACTAGAAAAGGTTCTATTCCACAATCTTCTTATCTTTCCTTTCCAGAAGGAAAGCATAAAGTCAAGGGCATTCTCTATATTTTTCATAAACAACAAAATTTGGTTTTAGACTATCTTTCCATTTTCCATATATTCACATATAGAAATTGGCTGGAAATTTAAGATCACCATCAAAAATTATGCTATCCTCTCCAAACAGATTAAGCTGTCACAGGTTTTTAAGGGGAACAGAAGTTTTCAGTGTTGGTAGAATACCTTTTTCTTATGGTCATCCCAGTTCAGTTCTCGACCCATCAGTTCAACAATCCTGGGTAGGGCTTCCTCTGCGGCCTGGACATTGAGAAAGGCCAGGCGAGTGCGCCGTGAAATCATATCCACCGCCGTGCAGGCATACTCCTTAATCCCATATTTTACCTGCATTCAGGAAAAAGTATAGTTAGGCATTTCTTTATAAAGAGTAAAGTTTCACTGAAAAAAAAAATTGTGCTTTCAAAGGTAACCCTTTTCCCTACATTCTGGTTTCTCCAGGAATCATGAGACTAATGGTGATTCGACACAAGTCCTCCATCTGGCTGCCAAAGGAGGTTTGGAAAATGGGATAAATTGGACAAGAGTTAATGCCTTCGTTGTGAACAGAACCTGGCATAAACATGCAAATTGCATCACTTCTCATTAACCATCCACAGTAATCACTTAGTTCTCTTTGCCTATACATTATGGGGAAGTTAATTTACATAGCTGAATAGGCAAAGGATGAGCATTAGGAAAGTTATGGTCTCGTCTCTCTAGGCTGCAAAGTTTTCTGTCTTAGACTAACCAGATGGCAGAAGCCTTGAATTCAATCAAGTGCATGCATACTGGACACCAGTGTCTCAAGGCAGTGAATTAGGAATAAAAATAAAGCATGGTCTCTGCTTTCATAAAACTTGAAAACATGATGAGAAACTAGACTTAAATCTTTGAGAAAATGTCAAAGCCAGCATGTCATCTGGCAAGACAGGAGTGGTACAATCTTGAAGAGCTACAAATTCACAAAAGGGACCAGACTTGAGATAGCTTCATCAAGCAAAAAAGAAATCCACATTTTATATTAAAGCCACTATCAACATCACTTCAGAATTTACATTTTCTTAATGAAAGAATCTGAACTGAGCAGACAGACACTTTACTCCAGGTTTTAGCTGAAACATCAACATTAAAATAACTGCATATGATTTTTAAAGATAATAAAGAATGAACAGATGAATGGCATCCTCTGGTAGAAAAGAAAAGCCTAATGACAATTTACATACCTCTGCTTCAATATATGGAAATTCTGATACAAGTCGCACTCCAACAATAGGCCACCTTTTTCCAGTCACACTTGCCATTTTGGCCACCTCAAAAGCCTTGTCACCGTAGGTGGCAGCAAGATGCTGTGCCACCTAGAGAAATAAAACTACATTAGGCAGGCACTTTGACTATTGATAACTTTCAGATACAAAGAAAAAAAGAAGTACATGCTCATCTTGTCAGTTTTCTTACAGCCTGTAACTAATAGTTCTCGGAGAGTATTAGGTTTTGGTTTTGTGGGAGGAAACCACTTGAGCTTCTAATGCTTAGGCCAGCACTAACTGAGCTACTCATGCATCACTGTATCGATGACGGATGAAGCTTCAACTTCATTCTGCTCCTGATATCACTTCTGAAGAACAGCTTTGGATGAAAGAATTTGGGAGGCTCTTTATGCTAGGAACAAACCAAATGAACTCCAGGTTTCAAAACAGAAGCTAAAATGTACATTGTTTTCTAGGCAACTGTAGGAAAGTGGAGCCATCTTTTTTCTTAGATTACTTTTGCAGTACAGAGAGAATCATATCCAGGGAAAGGAAAACTGTAAAGCATAGAGGCCACATCACACTTGCAGATTACGTTACTGGCAATACTAGGAGGTGAGGTAAAGGATAAAGATGTGGCAATGCATACCCACCTCACTTTCAAGTCCATAATCCTGGACAAGCCTAATGTAGAGTGTGGGGCTCCAATCTTTCCCTCCTTGAAGGAAAAGTCCAACTGTTCTACTTGGTCCTGCTTTCAAATTGTGGATCTTGATAGCAGCATTCACAGTATCTTCTGCCATGGATCGATACGTTGTCCACTTTCCACCTACAAAGAAGTTCATAACAAATTTGTGAGAGTTTCCACCTTTATTTTTCTTATTAACAATTTATCAACATATTAATAACAAAATCTACCAGTTGTTTAGAACATACGTGGCAAAGCTATGTGTAAAGACTAATCAGAATCATAAGAAGAAAACACTTGTTCATTAGAGCTAAAAAATAATTTCGTGGAACAATTTAAGTCAAGCTTTTATTTAAATCATATCCAAATAACAAAGCAATGTCCCATACCTGCTATGGTGATAAGGCCACTCTCACTGATGTCCACAACGTGATTGCGGGAGATGGACTGGGTGTCTTCGGACTTGGGATCTGTCACCAGGGGGCGGATACCGCTCCATGCTGCCAGGACATCCCCTCTTCTCACTGGTAGGGATTGATACTGTGGGTTACTCAAAAACATTTCTACTAAAGTATGAAGTAATTAACAAGCAGAAAAATGTTCAGCAAATGGCACATATGGGGGTGCACTTTAAAAGGGAGGAAAAAAAGCCCTTAAATGTAGGAATTATAATATTGGACCAGTGCAATAAAAACTCAGAAAGAATTAATTATTTTGTTACTAGGATAATTTAACTTAAAACCAAAACCAAATAAAACCAAAAAGGTAAATAACAATAACAACAACAACCAACCTATTAGGAACCCTCAATCTAGGGCAACCTAGAGCAGTTAAAGGGGTAAAAGAAAGGAGAAACAAACAAAAAAATTCAAGAGACTTATGAATTGTTAAATTTCCTACAATACATCTTGCTGTCTCTTCTTAGAGAAGACAAAGATGCTTATTAAATTAAACAAACAAGCATATAACAGGATATTTTCTTCTCTCATCAATACCACTCACTGAGAATTTACAGCAGACCCAGCACTCGGAAAAATACCTGAAATACACACCTCATCTTATTAATCTCACAAAGCCCCACAGCACTGGGTAGACTGCAAAGTTTAGCCAACCAAATATGGCAACCAATGTGAGCAAGGCAAACATCAGAACCTAGATCTTTCTGATTTTTAAAGTTCCTATTCGTACCCACTCAACTGTACTGCCTCTCAATTGCTGACAAATTTCAAAACTCTACCCTTATTTTATTCATCCTGTTTTCTTTCTTTATAACTGATACAGAAATAGCTATATGGGCTTCGCCCAGTATAGACAGAGTACTTGCGTTACCACGTACGTAATCTTTCAGCAATTAACATGTCATAAAATCACCCCTAGTACCTCTGCAAGTACAATGTATGATACCAAGAATTGAGAGACATTAGATTAAAATTAGACAGCCGCTGAATAGCAAGCGTTTCTAACTTAAAAATGGCTGAGGAGAATAGATCAACTGTGGTCTGGTCTACCAGCAGGGCAGGGGCAAGACCCAAAGGCAGGGTTTTCAGAATCTACCCATCTACATCTAGATTATCTTCAGGGATTGCTCAGCTCTTTTTCCTTCTACAGCAAGGATGCGACTTCTACATGCACCAACCCAAAAACTGCTTAATGATGTAGACTACAGAAAAGTAAACATTTGCCTTGTCCTTCCTACTGCACTTACTATGGTAAGTCAGTTAATCCATTTCTGGATAATGGACATTTAAGTACAACTTTGCTTTATCTGTGTGTCTTGGAACTCCTTCTCCAAACTCCTGGCCATTAATCATATTGATAAAATACCAACTGTAAATACTCTTGAAACTCAAGACTTTAAAACACTGTGAAAACTGGATCTTTATATGCAAATAGGTGACGTCAAACTCAACTTTATACCATGTACAAAAATTAACTCAAAATGGATCAAGACCTAAACATAAGAGCAAAACTATAAAACTCTTAAAAGAAACATATGATAATATTTCATGACACTGGATTTAGCAAGAAATGCTGCTTTCTTGGATATGACATCAAAAGTACAGACAACAAAAGAAAAAAAAATATAAAAAGACTTTGTCAAGGGCTGGGGTTGTGGCTCAGTGGTACAGTGCTTGCCTGTCATGTGTGAGGCACTGGGTTCAATTCTCAATACCCCATATAAACAATTTTTTTTTWAAAAAAAAGGTCCATTGATAACACACACACACACACACGCATATATATATATTAAAAATCTTTGTCAAAATTAAAAACTTTGGTGTATCAAAGGTACTATTAACAGAATGAGAAGGCACCTCACATTAATTAGAAAATATTTGCAAATTATATATCTGATAATAGTCTAATATAAAGAATATATAAGGAAGTCCTGAAACTCATAAGAACCTAAACTAAGAAATGGTGAAAAAATTGGAGTTGACATTTCTCCAAAGAAGATATACCAATGTTCAACAAGCATATGAAAAGATACTCAACATTACTAATCATTAGGAAAATGCAAATAAAAATCATATACGATTTCACACTCATTAGAATGATTATCAAACACAAGCAAAAAAACAAAAAATAAAAAATAATTATTGGTGAGGATAGGAAGAAATTAGAAAACCTGTACACTGCTGGTGAAAAGTAAAATATCATAGCTGCTACAAAAAATGTATGTCAATTCCCCCCAAAAATAAAACTTTTAAAATTACCACATGATCTAGCAATTATACTTCTGCACACCCATGTTCAATAGCACTATTCACAAAAGCCAAAAGGTAGAAGCAAACCAAGGGTCCATCAACAGATAGATAAAATGTGGTACACACAATGGAATACTATTCATCCTTAAAAAGGAAAACAATTCAACCACATGCAGCAAAATGGATGAACCTTGAAGACGTGATGCTCAATAAATAAGCCAATTATAACAGGACAAATATTGCATAATCCCACTTATATAAAGTACTTCAGAGTGCTTGAACTCACAGAAGCAGCAGGTAGAATGGTGGCAAGTTAAACTTATTTTATGTATGTATAATATTTCAAAATATACTATCATGTTAATTTTTTTATTTCAAAAAAAAAAAAAAGAAGAAGAGTGGCTTCTTTATTTGAACCAGGAAGTGGAGCAGGGTAATGGGGCATTAGTGTTTGAAGGGTACAGAATTTCAGGATAGGAAGATGAAAAAAAATCTAGAAATGGATGATGGTGATAGCTGTACAGCAATGTGGATGCCCTTAATGCTAGAGAACCATACCCTAAAAATGGCTAAAATGGTAAATATTATGTTCTATAGATTTAACCACAATTTAAAACTGAAGACAAAGGATAAGTTGATGCAATTCAATTTCAAGTATGAGAAAGTTAAAAAAAATAAAAATAAAAAAATTTACTTAAATATCAGGACCTCTACAAGCCTACATCATGGTCATGTCTTAGTTCAAATTAATAAATGCCTTGCAGGGAGCATAGATTTGTGAGCAGAGGGTGGCTGGATTGGAAGTCCTTCTTCCCCCTTGGCCATGCACCCTTGCACAGTAAACACTCTTAGTTTCTATACACAGCACAACCTAAAAAGCAGTTAGGTTTATATCCTCTGGACTCTGTTTAAAGAGTCACAAAGACTCCTTGAAATGATTGGGATAGTCCTAAAACTAAATGTACCTTTCTAGAGAAAGGCTCTAGAAACAAGTTATACTGAATGACAGATAATCTCCTCATCTGAACATCCAATAAAAATAGTAAAACAAACTAGTAAAGAAAACCAAAGTAAATCCAGCATATTTTAATGTAGTTATTTTAGGGCTATACCCTTAAAATGACTGTCCGCTGAAGGACAAGGTGCCCACACACCATTTCAGGAATGTTTAATCAATCCCACAGCCAACACTGAAACTGAAACAAGGGAAGAAAGGACAGAATCAACTGGTTAGGCTTCCCAGTCTTGTTAACTGGGGACCATAAAGCATGCCCATGCATTCTCTACAAGAGCTTTAATTCTAATGGCTTCTATGGACTAGGAGTTAATTTCTGCTTTATGCAACTCTATAAGTCTTAAAAAACCTCAACACAAATAGTGCAAAGTATTTTAAAATCTATACAAAAAAAAAAAACTAAGTAGGAAATTACTACTATTTTCCATTAGAGTTCACATTCCCTTCTGAGTCAAACATAAAACTTAGCCAACCCACTTACAACGTCATTGTGGTCACCACACAGTCCCCTCAATGTCTGTGAAATTCCTGAGGTAGCCACACTGATCAGGAATTTGGTTTCAACTCTTGAATTCCTCTGACCAATTTTTAGATTATTTGATGGAAAATTAAGACCTTCCGGAATAAATCTGAAGCTTATGCAAATAATCTGTAGTAAATTGCTTTATCTTTTCTATTTTAACAGGCAGACAAACATATTTACATATTTGTATTATCTGAAAGAACACTATATTCACATTTTTCATTCATAAAGGAACAAGAAATAAAACATTAAATATACTGATTCCATTTTATTTATTTTTTAATTTTTTAGATTGCATATGCTTTTTTAAATATTTTTTTTAGTTGTCGATGGACCTTTATTTAATTAATTTACTTATATGTGGTGCTAAGAATCGAACCCAGTGCCTCACACATACTAGGCAGGCACTCTACCACTGAGCCACAACTCCAGCCCCCTGATTCCATTTTAAATCCTTATTCCTGAAGTTGACCCCCAAAGAAAACAAACCAACCACTACTAGAAAGAGTTCACAAATGTGTTAAAAACTACATTTTGCTTGAGATCATAGCATTCAGTTCTCTAGTCTGAGAATCATACCAGATGAGTGTTGAGATTACCTTTACTCAAAAAGACGCATTTTAAGGATAATAAAATTTTATTTAAAATATTAATCAGTTTTTATGGCCTACTGTTTTATATTATTAGACCAGTAGATAGTTAAGAGATCAGGTTATATATCAGTTCCTTCCCAATCTTGAGATTTAACAATTCATATGGATTATTCAAAATGCTATTTGCTGCTGACATTCAAATTTGTACCTCCCCACCACTCCTATTCAGTAATGACTGGTTAGGGCCATAGCTATTATTTAAGGTCATGGGGCATAGCCCAGATAAAAATGTGAAACACTAATTCCAATCCCTTAAATAAAAATAGCAACTATCCAAACTAACAGATTTCTCTCTTTGCAGCCTCTTTATCCATAGTGGAAGCCCTATACAGTGTTCAACCTAAATAAAGTTTACTCAAGAAAGAGATTCAAAAGCAGTAGACAGGGAAAGAATCATTATTGTATCTTTTAATTCTTCCTGGAGCTGTTGCAGCTATGTTATAACTATGGGGGAAACCTACTTGGAAGTGGTAGAATAAAGAAAAATAAGGGTCATACATTTTAGATATAGCTGAATCACTTAGATATACTAATCTCCTCTGAAATATTCTTACATCTGGAGTTCTTTTATAAGTTACTTAATGTTTTTGTCTCATTTAACAACTAAACCCCTCCACTAATTCAG